CAAAATGTCGCCGTCGTCGCCGTCGCTGCCGTTTCCGTTACCGCCGCCATTGTCGGGGCCTCCTCCCCCACGGGCCCCTGACGTATACACCCTCGCCGGCGCCGCGGCCGCCGCCGCCGCCGCAGCAGCAGCAGCAGCAGATTCCGTGTGCGCTTTACAGCGGCTCCCGGGATGTCCAGGTTTTCCTTCCTCCGCCTCCTCCTCGCCCTTAGCCGCCCCCTCCATCTGCCCGTCCTCGCTTTCGTGAGCGGCAGCAGCAGCATTGAGTGTATCTGGGACGCGGACGATTCCTGCGCGCGAGGGTGTGTGTGTGTGTGTGTGTGGTTATTGAGGGGGATGCGGGTTATGGAAGGAAACCCGTCACCATTGACGTGATGGTTGGATGTTTTGCTTTTGTATGACTGTCTCGGCGCGCGCGTGTGTGTGTGCCGTACTGTCCCGTGCTGTGCCGTACACTGTCCGGGTCACTTTGACGGCGATGGCGTGGCGAGGGGCCGGGCGCCGCGACTCTCAACAATGACGCCGTACAACAGTGTTGTCATTTGGCCATTGCTATTTGGCTCCATGGTGGCGGGCACCTTTTCACGAAGCCTCGCGGGAGTAAGGTGCGTAAGGTGCGGCGAAATCCTCAAAAGGGCTCCGAAACCAAACACCTCATTATGTTCGCTTCGTTCCGGGTAATCCAAATGGCCTCTCCAACCTCCCCCCTCCCCCCCTCCTGTTGAAGTTTTACAGCTAATTTATGTGATGTTGTGACACGCCTCCTCCTCCTCCTCCTAGGCCACCCGGATCCACCTTGCCAGACGTCCCCCTCGTTTGTGAGGGAGGCCAGCATTCGCTCCAACTTGCCGTACTCGTACACGAACAATTGCCGTAGAACGTCCACCTCAATGACCACCATCGAAGCGCCGCAATCCAGGGACACAGTCGAGCGCGCGGCAAAAACTGCCGCAGTGGCGGCGGAAGCTGATACACCGCCGCCGCATCCGCCGCCGCCGCCACCACCAACATTGCCGCCGTCGCCGCCGTTGCCGTTGCCGCCGCCAGCACCCAACCCCACAGCATTCCATCCGCCGCCATCGCCAGCTGCTACTCCTGACGTACTTGCCACCGCTGCGACGGCACTCGGCCGTACAGCATCGTCCGTATCCCTGACGGACGCCAAATGACCCACGGGTCCGTCGTCGCCCTCAGCTGCCGCCTCCGCTCCATTCCTTGAGGTCCCCTGATCGACCCGCGGCGCCGCGACCACCAAGCCACTCGGGCCTGTCAGCGTGGGCAGCGCCAGGTAGGTGCTGCCGCCTCCGCCAGAAGTACTCCGCCGCTGCCGAACCATCACCGCCTCCGCCGCCGCCGCCGGGTCAGAATCCCTCGTCCCGTCACCGCAGAGGCGCCGCTCCCCAGCGCGCTCAGTACGGCGCTGCTCGCCGTCAGGGAGGAGCCGTCCAGCGGCCACTACCGGTGGTACGGCACGAGCTTTCTGGGAGCCGCCGCCGCTGCCGCCGTCGGTCGCAACGGCGTCGTGGCTACCTGAGCAAATGGTATCCAAAAGCGCCTTGAGGGGCAGGTGGTTGAAGAGATTCATCTGGCCCGCAGTGCCGGCGGCATTAGTCGGGTAGATTACGTTGGTGGGGAAGGTGGGCTGGGTCGCGGTCCGGGAGGTCCGGTCGCCGTAGTACTCGATGCTGCGATGGTGGGAGGGTCAGACCCGCCAGGCGGATCAAAAAAGGTGTTATACAGGAAGACAGACAGACAGACAGACAGACAGACAGACAGAAAAAAGGAGAGAGAGGGAGAGAGAGAGAGGGTGGAAGAGAGAGAGGAAGAGCGAGAGACAGAGTACAAACAGTGTGTGTGTATGTATGCCACCTGATTATTGGGGCAGGGAGGGGCCAGCCAAGCGGGAACTCGGGCCGAACCTTCCGTAATTGGATGCACATGCACATGCACATGCACAGCGAGCTCCTAAGCAGCCCCACAACCCACCTGGCCGCGTTCTGGTGCAGTACGGTGCCGCTGGGCAGCGAGAAGATGGT